CAGAGCCCCTTCCTGCACCCCAAACTCTTCATCTCTGGTCCCACCCCAAAGCACATGCCCCCAGCTGGAGCCCTCACCCCCTCCCATACCCCAACCCCTTACCTTAGCTAGGAGCCCCCTCCTGCACCCTGAACCCCTCATTTCTGGCTCCAGCAGAGAGCCCATATCCCTCCCACACTCCAATCCCATATTTCAAACTGGAGCCCCCTCACACACTCTGAACCCTTCGACCCCAGCCTGGAGCCCCCTCCTCCATCACAAACCTATCGTCCCTGGACCACCCCAGAGCCCCATCCCCAGCTGGAGCTCTAATCCCTTGCCCCAGCCTGGAGCCCCCTCCCACACTCCGAATCCCTCGGCACCAGCCCGGAGCCCCCTCCTGCACCACAAATCCTTGATTCCTGGACCCACTCCAGAGCCCACACCCCCAGACAGAGCCCTCACTCTTTTCTGCACCCCAACTCCCTGCCCTAGCCCGATGAAAATAAGCAAGTGAGTGAGGGTGGGGGAGAGCGAGCGACGGAGGGAGGGGGATGTAGAGAGCTGGGGGCAGGGCCTCGGGGAAGGTGTTTGGTTTTCTGCAGTTAAAAAGTTGGCAACCCTACATTGCCATCATGTTTCATTACCAAAGACTGAAATTGACTGCAGGTTAAGTTTAGCAAGTGGAAAAATCTTATGCACTTTTAAAAATCCTATGCACTGTGCTGTCCATGTGACTGAGCTGCTTCCAGCCTAACTCCACTGATTGCACCTGGCGTCCTGTCCATAATAGTCCCCGCAGTGAACACGGGCCCTCCGACTAATTTCATGGATCACGATACACTAACAACACAGGAATTCAAATTTTTTAAAAAAAGTTTATTGTAACATCGTAACTGAGAATTTAAACCCCAGAAGTGAAGAAAATGAAAGTTTTGATTTCTGCAACCAGAACTTACTTATGTTACATATGAAATGTAGACCTAAATATTAATACTATTTGCAGAGCTCATTAATTACTACTTCTCTCCAGGAGAAATCAGTTGCAGTGATAGAACCTTGTAGTGTTGCATGAATGTATTTTTCATCAAGGTGTGTGTGTATATAGTGCTTTTAAACGTAAGTGCCTGAAGTTAGGCTCCTGAGTTCATATTTAGGCACCTGCCTGATTTTTTTTTTTTTTTTTTTTTTTAAGCGCTGAGCACCCAACAGCTACCACTGAGGTCAATATGCATATTGATCGCACCTACATTGAAACCAGACACTGTAGTTACATAGCCTAGTTTCCAAGGTCAATAACCATAGAACCTCGCTTTACTTAGAGCCAGGCCTGTGGAAATAAGTTTACCTTTTATCTGAATGCAGAGAAGTCCTATATTTTAAAATGTTAAGTCTGCTATTACTGAATATATTTATTGTATATCTCTCATTTGACATTTCTGAAAGATAAATTAACAGTGACATTGTCAGTGTTTCCATGAGAATTTCAGGTGTTTCATAGGACAGTAACTTTGTATTTATGGAGTGATTCCTGAGCATTGTCAAGCATCTACAGTTTTCACTGAAGTCAACTGAAGCTTTTTTAAAGGGAATTGTGGGTCGTTGTTTCAGGCTCTTTCCTATTTAGTTATTCGCATCACACATGGATGTTTTGAGACACCAGGTCCTTCTGTATGTTATACCTTATTCAGTGATGAGGTACCAAAACCTTAACAACCGGTTCCCTATAAAAAGTTCTGATTTAAGGGATGTGCCAAGGGGTGGAGGGGGCGGGGGTGTAATGGCAGGGAAGAGATTGCACAGAGGCAAAAGGGGTTTGTGACAGGGAGGGAGTGGCACAAGGGAGAAGTGGGCAGGAGGGGGTTGTTGCAAGGGGCTGGCAGGCGGGGGTGTGTATGTGCCCGGGGTTGTTCCAGTGGGGTGAAGGTGGCAGGTAGGGGTTTGCACAAGGGAGGCGCGGGCAGGAGGGAGATGGCAGGCGGGGGGGGGGGGGGGGGTGTCCCGAGGTTGATGCAGGGGTGAAGGTGACTGTGGCTGGCTGTGGGGGGTTGCTGGGTGGAGGTTGCCCCGAGGCAAAAGTGGCAGGACAGGGTGGGTTGTTGGGGTGGGGGATGCACAGGGGAGAAGGTGGGTGTTGGAGGGGGTGGCAATGGCTGGGGGAGGGATGCCCGGGTTGTTCCCAAATACACCCCCTGGTGCTCCGCGGGGCCGTGCGGCTCTCCGTGGCCCAGCTAGGTATCTTGTAGGTGGAGTAGACACCCAGTTTCTCCGCCTGAGGAGTAGAGCGCAGCTGTGCCTTCTTCCTTGTGCCGCAGGCCGAGCTGGGCTCCCCGCCACCCCTGGGGCTCCCAGTGGCAGTAGCTGCTGCTGAGAGCCCTGGGGGCGGCGGGGAGCTCGGCTCGGCCTGTGGCGTGGGGAAGAAGGCGCAGCTGCTAGTGCTAGACCCTCCCCTTCCCCACTCCGCCGCTGGCTGCTCCCTCGAGGGGAGGGATTGGCCGCGCCGCAGGCGGCCCCTCTGGAGGCGGGGAGCAGCGGCAGCCTTGTGTTCCGCTGTTTAAAAAAAATTTGGGGGGCACCAGTTTTTGGTGCCCCCAACCGCTTGGCGCCCTAGGCGGCCACCTAGTCCACCTAGTGGTTGCATCGGCCCTGCCCGACAGACCCCCCAGAACTCCCACACCTACCCAACCCTCCCCCCGTCCCCTGACCGCCCCCCCCCAGGACCTCTGCCCCCTCCAACCGCTCCCTGCCCCTTATATAACCCCTTCTCCCGGCCTGGCCCCCTTACCATGCCACTCAGCACAGCGTATGTGGATGCTGCGTGGCCCACTGGAGCTCGCAGACCCACCCCCTTACTACACCGCTCAAAGCGGCAGGAGCTACAGAGCTGCCCAGGAGCAGTCCAGAGCGCTGGTGCTGGCTGTGCAGTACGCTGAGGCTCTGTGAGAGGGGGAAAGGTGGGGGAAGGGCCGGGGGAGCCTCCCCAGCTGGGAGCTCAGGGAGCCGTAACTATTTTTAACAACCGGTTCAAAATTTAACAACCGGTTCATGTGAACCGGTGTGAACTGGCTCCAGCTCACCACTGACCTTATTTAAACATGTATAAAAATACTGTCGAACCTGTATAGCAGTGTTTTAGGATACAAGGTCATTTTTGAAACTTTGCATTATATTTATTTGTGATTATTATATTTATTTGTTCAGCGTGTCTTAATGAATGATTCTTGTGCCAATAGTTATATTGATGAGAACTGCAATCACTCTATTATTTTCTGTCTAAAATACTTATTCACTAAAGGAATTAAACCACTACATGTCTTCGCTTGTCAACTTGTAAAACCGCATAAGGTCTTTCTCATATATAGAATTTATGGGAATAGATGCCATGGAATGTTAACCTCTTGTCTTGAAGTGAGATGGGTTTTTAAATGTGATTTGGTTTCCAGTATGCATAGTAGCCTTATCAGAATAAAAAATCAAGTATCCATCATTAAAGGGACACTTTCAACTACTTAAAGCCACAGTGACATCTCTGAGGTTGCATAAGGTACAAGTCACTGTAGAATTCAGTCAATTGTGTTATAATTTGGTTAGGGGGAGGCTTATAGACATGCTCATTTATACTTATTTTTATTTAAATTACTTTTATTGATGAAATTAATAATTTACAAAGCAGTAGATGCAACTGTCAAGGTTCCTCCCCCACTCTGAACTCTAGGGTACAGATGCGTGGACCTGCATGAAAACCTCCTAAGCTTACTTTTACCAGCTTAGGTTAAAACTTCCCCAAGGTACAAATTAATTTTATCCTTTGTCCTTGGAATATCCACTGCCACCGCCAAACTCTAACTGGATTTACTGGGAAACGTCGTTTGGACACGTCTTTCCCCCCAAAATCCTCCCAACCCTTGCACCCCACTTCCTGGGAAAGGTTTGGTAAAAATCCTCATCAATTTGCATAGGTGACCACAGACCCAAACCCTTGGATCTGAGAACAATGAAAAAGCATTCAGTTTTCTTACAAGAAGACTTTTAATAGAAATAGAAGTAAAGGAATCACCCCTGTAAAATCAGGATGGTAGATACCTTACAGGGTAATTAGATTCAAAACATAGAGAATCCCTCTAGGCAAAACCTTAAGTTACAAAAAAGACACAGAGACAGAAATAGTCATTCTATTCAGCACAATTCTTTTCTCAGCCATTTAAAGAAATCATAATCTAACACATACCTAGCTAGATTACTTACTAAAGTTCTAAGACTCCATTCCTGGTCTATCCCCAGCAAAAGCAGCATATAGACAGACACACAGACCCTTTGTTTCTCTCCCTCCACCCAGCTTTTGAAAGTATCTTGTCTCCTCATGGGTCATTTTGGTCAGGTGCCAGCGAGGTTACCTTTAGCTGCTTAACCCTTTACAGGTGAGAGGATTTTTCCTCTGGCCAGGAGGGATTTTAAAGGGGTTTACCCTTCCCTTTATATTTATGACAGCAACATTTTATGCTCTGCTTTTATAAATTAAACCTAATCATTACTCTCAGGGTACCCGGAGATCACTGATGTTACTGGTGCACAAAGTAGTCATCAGAAAGCAAAGTTAAATTTCAGGTTTATTTGAAAATAAAGGACAAAAAAATTAGGCAAGGGGGAATTATTGCTAGAAAATTCTATTTAAGTTTCTAAGAAAGTATTACAAGAATTAAAAGTTTAATTTTTAATGTAAAAGAGTAACTGAAAGAAACTCCTTTTACTTTAAAATTAGAAATACGGTAATATGTATAGTATACAATGTAACACACCCCAGGTTTTTAATGTACCTAATTTTATATCAAATGTAAGTAAAGTCTGACTTATGAATCATTGTGTAATTCCACAACAATATTTGGCAGAATATAAATGCGTATACAGATAGTAAAGCTCAATAATGAAAAACAGGATAAATGTGTTCTAGGAAAGTTCAAAGACCAGATCAATGAAAAAACAGGATGTATTGGTGTCTTATGACCTTTTTTCTTGCTTTTCAGGATTTTTTGGGACAAGTGTTTTGTACACTAGGAGAGATAGTTGGATCACAGGGAAGCAGACTGGAAAAGGCAATTGCGTAAGTGCATCATTCTTGGATAAATAAGCGCTGCCTCATAAGGTGTGGTCATTTCTATTAATTTATAGAGGTACTTTGCCATATGCATTGTGGCAGACACAGCATCTTGGAGAAAATAAATTGATAGGTGACTCAAATAATTTTCCATTATAGATTTTTATTATGTTTCTTTTCTGTTTTGGGTAATTATCAAATGAATTGAAGATGTATTTAAATATCTTGTCTCCTTTCTTTGTTCTCAACTGTCTTTTAACTACATTGAGTGTAGTGCCTTAAGTGAGATTTTGTTCTTTTTTGGGATGATGATCTGTTTTATATTTGTAAGTGTAGGTTTAGAAATGGTTCACTATAGAAACAGCTTTGATTATGGTTTTAATCTTGTCAATAAGATAAATAGCTAGCTTTAATTTTAACCTTAATTTCTTATTCGAATGCTGTCCCTGTGGGTTCTCCACTTCAGGTGTTGGTGTGTCCCAGTGCCACCGATCAGAGATTTTCAGTAGCAGTGCCTGGTGTTGGGGCGTGCATGTATAGTAGCTACCTCACTGTGCCATTGGCGCTTCATCTAGCACTCACGTGGCCTCACCCCCTCAGTTCCTTCTCAGCTGTTCTTGGGTGCAGACTGAGCTCCAAAAGCAGGGTTGAAAAAACCTAGAAGAGAGTTGGAAATAGTTGTTTGTTAACTTTTAGTTATTAGTACTTAGTTCATCGTTAGGCTTAGGTTTCTGTTTTTAATTAATTAGACTTTTCTCTAACCAAACAAAACACGGGGAAAAACCTGTGTTTTTTCTCTTTCATTGAAATGTTTCAAAAAAAAAAAAAGAGAGAGAGAAAACAAAAATGCCAGGCTCTCCAGGCTTTAAAAGAAGCAGTTCGTGCAAGGATGCTATTACTGTCTCCGGTGGGCACTCGCAGTGCGTCCGTTGCTTACAGGAGGTGCACATTCCTCAGAAATGTGCCCACTGCAGCAACCTCAAAGCCAGAGTGAGGAGGGATAGATATCTCTGGCTCAATATGATTCTTATGGAGAAATCCCTACTGCCACCTTCTGATCCTGGAAAAAACCCATTCGGGGGAACTTTCAGGGTGGATTTGATTTAAATCAAATTGATTTAAATCATTAGTTAGGAAGACTCGATTTAATCATGGATTTCTACATAAAAGTGCATTCTTGTTGGTTGTTATAACCTTAAATATATATTCTTCACAACTCAGAGATAGATGTAGGTTTCATTTTTAGAAGGTACACACTATACATTTTTAAAGTGATTTATTTTGAAAACTTTTCAGATTAGTTTTATAGCTATATCAGAAAGTGAATTATTGGTTATTTCATTTACTAATGGTAATTGAAGCAGATAAGTCATCTCCTAATGACTTCATAAATATTTCCAAGTCAGCAGGTTAATCCATTAATATTTGGAGGATTTTCTTGCCATGCTGTATTAGGAGGAGAACGTCACCAGACAGACATTTAAATGTTATGTATTCTGGATTTTTTTCTTCAACAGCGAACATATAATATTTTAATAAAACATGCATATGAATTTTTTAATTTAGTTAAACATTCAAGTTTTTTTAAAATCAGTTTTTTGGTTTTGTTAACTATTTTAGTTAAAAACAATTTTAAATGAAATGTTTAAAAAACAAAAATTAAATTGACTATTTCAGCCAGGTCAACATCAGAAACTTAAAATATTGGCTTTCTGCAGCTAAGTCAGTTTTCTTCACCTTCATTTTCCTGTTTGTTCTTAATCTGGAAAAGAAAAACAAGCTTTCCTGCTTTTTCAGGTCCCAAACTATTTCTCAATTTGGAATTAATTAGTCCAAAGGAAGAAAATATTCTTTCTACACCAGCAGAAGAAGCTGCTGCTGCTAAAAGTGGGATTATCACTTCAACAGTCTCTGAATCCAAATGCTTAAGTGACTTCCTCCAGTTCATTGGAGTGACTTTAAAACCTCATCAGCAAAATCTATTTCTTGAATGGTTCACCCTTACCTCTGAAGTTTATTATAGTTGGCATTATGGAGGGATGATTGTGGGATGTCCATGTCACAGCCAACTCCTCTTCTTCAGCAGTTAAGGTTTGACCCTGGTACTGAGTATTGAGACTATTTGCAAGAAAATGAGCTGGAGATAGTGCTTGTTCCATTTGTTTTTATAATGCTTGTAATTTAACTCTGTCATTGCATATTTCTTTTTTTAACATCTCACTCAGTTCCTTCCAAATTTCAACCATATCAGCAATAAAGCAGCTATTTCCCTGCATTTTGTTCAAGGCTACAGAAATAGGCTTCAGGGTATTCAGCATGTGTTCAACATTTCTCTTAAGCCTAATGTTGAGAACTTTGGCTGTGACGGTGCCATCTATTTTTTTCATGATTTTGTTCACAAACTGTCATTCGATTAGGCCAGTTTTTGAGATAGTGCTCAAAACAGTCCACTCCTGAGTTCCATGGCATGTCTTGTGGGAGAGTTAGCTTGGTTCCTCCCACTTTTTTCAGAGCAGCTGCTGCAAAGTGGTAGTTACGGAAGTATTTTTCAATTTCAACAAAATTAGCCTTATTTCTGGAACACTGAAGTCTTTGGCTAGGAGTTGCATCAAATGAGCACTGCAACCGTATGTTATTAGCTTGGGACTCTCTTCTAAACAATTTCTTCTCATCTTGGATACATTTGTAGCATTGTCTGTGACCAAGCTGCGTACTAGAAATTTGAAATTTTTTTCAGTTTGTTATAGCTTTTACTGCTGCTTCTTGTAAGTATTCTGCTGTGTGTGCATTTCCTGATGTATCAATTTTTTCTGTAAGGAAGACATTCCCTCCTTCTGTTGTCACACAAGCACATACAACAGGATCATTGTGGATATTGCTCCACCCATCAAGACTCAGGTTAACAATTTTACGCTCTAGACCTTTTGCATGCTGCTCAGTTTCTCTTGCATACACCTTATCCAGCAATTTGCCTGCGACATCTGCTCTGTTGGGTGGACTGTATCCTGGTCTTAATGAGTAAACCTCTTTTTGTAATCCTCTGGTTCTGATCACAAACTTATCTATGGTTGTTTCTGGGTGATGGAGATTTTTTTTTTCTTTTTGCTACAGGTGATATACTGTGGCTATGTGACATACATGATGATGTGACTGAAACACTATGATTGGCAGATAACTCTGAAACTATAGAAAATGATGGTGATCTTGAAGGTGGATAGTCTTCAGAATCCTGTATGTTGAGGATGGATTCTCCTAAACAAAATAAGTCAATGCAGTTATTTAATTATTATTACCATACTGCTCATTTAGTATTACTTATTGCTTTCACTGACACTCAGTACTACTTCAAAGGTGAAATTGTAAAAGGAAGATCTGCCAATTTCAGCTATTTATTTATCACAACTGCATCTAAAATGATAGTACCATAGTTGTTTGAGCAAAAAATATAGAGTAACATGAGAATTCAAGAATAGTCCAAAAGGAAGACAGGCAGTCCTTAAAGAAGAATGATATAAAAAAGTTTACCAACCTAAAGATCCTGCATGTTCAAACATGTTCGTTTCATCATCTTCAACACCGCTTCCTCCTGAGAAGGAACAGTTTTCATGATGTTGTTTCATTCGGGAAACCAGACCTTGCATTTCTTTGTTGCACTGTTTGCATTTTGCATGCATGCTTGTCTTACCCACAGGTAGAGGAACTTCATTAAAATATTCCCAAACTGGGTCTCTTTTACGGCCTGCTGCCATTATAGGGTTTCCTTTCTAGTGAGAGAATGGTAGATCTCAAATCAATGAAGGCTACACTCAGAAAGACCTCAAGACTTCTGGAATATGCTGCTCAAACAGTTTCACTTTTGTTTCTAGTGCCTGTCCCTCTCCCTCTCTTCTCACATTTATCTCCAGACTTCTTCTCCTTTGTACAGATCTATTCTGCCCCCAACAATCTTCTATTCATTGAACTTTTTGAAACTTTGCACTTTTATAGAGAGGTAAGGGATTGACTCTGTGTACACAGATTTGCAGAGGGACAATAGGGTTGAGGTCTGTTATTTCTTGCCTCTCTATTATGTATGTATGTATGTATTTATTTTTATTTTAAAAACATTTTTGCTGTTAACAAGGATGTTATCTCTGGAGACACAAATCCACAGTTTGAGAACTGCAAAACTAAGCATCTCTGATGGTATCTTCTAGACTGAGCACTGAGTCCCATTGGTTTGATAGAAAGATTAACCTAAATAATCTATACAGAAGGCCCTGGAACCCCATAAGATTGGGTCCCTAATCCATGAACTATTGGAACTCATTTACAAAACTTTTCTTAAATGTTACATGAATATATTGTCATACTATAGAATTAGAATTTATAATCCCTATTCCATGATGAGATACCTTTGAGCTATAATGTATCTTAATTAAAACTATCTTTTATGTAGGTTTTTTCCTCAAAAAGCATTTTATCAAAAAAATCCGATTTAAATTAAAAAAAATTCAATTTTTATTTATTTATTTATTTTTTAAATCATTGATTTTTATCCATCCTAGGGACTCTCTAGGCGCCTCCTCCCTGGACAGAGCGAGTACCCTTTCCTCCAGAAAAAGGAGGTAGAGGGAGAAATCTCCCGCACATGGAGAACCATTAAAGAGAAAATAGGATAGGTGGTTTTGGTTTTGTGGAACATTGGCCCACCTTCTAATGGGAGAGGGGGAGTATGGTGTGGATGGCCTCCATCTCAGTAGAAGGGGAGCCAATTTTCTTGGGGACAGGCTGGCTAAAGTAGTCAGAAGGGCATTTAACTTACGACAAAAGGAGAAGGTGAAAAGAGGGAACAAGATTCAGATGTTGGGAACAAAATTAATCAAGAAACCAAAGGACATGAAGAAAAAACATATAAGAGACAGAAGGAGAAATTTATGGCCAGCAGGCTTAAGGACAATAAAAAGGGGCTTTTAAACAAAAAGAATCTTAACAGTGGTCCCATTACAAGATGGATATAGTAGAGT